GGGCTCATATTCTATGGGTGTATACGAGTCTGTCATACCAGTGCCCAATTGCAAAATTACAACTAAGCATTCAGACTTACTTTATAATCATAGCCAAACCCAGTTCACCTTTTAATTCCAAAAAACCCCAAATTCTTATCACAAATTTAATTTAAAAAAATTAAAAACAAAAGGAGAAAAATAAATAGATTGATAAAAAAAAAGAAAAAAAAAAAGAAGAGAAGGCTCAGACACGCACAAACACTGTCATCAAGTAGCAAAGCATCCGTACATAATACGAACACTATGCCAATGGTTGGTCCATGTATATATATATATACTCAGAATCGAGAAATGTTTTCATCTTCATCGCCCTCTTCAATTTACAAAACCCAAAGAAATTAAAAAAAAAGTCGTGGAAATTTGTTTTATAAAAAATCAATGGCCGGGAAGAGAGAAAGCCGCAAACCATTGGAACGACACCGTTCTACAGGGCGACGGGAGTAGAGTTAGAGAGGCGGCGGGGCTGTGGCTCTGGTTGTATGTGCGGAGGGAAGCCCTAGTGTTGGGAACTTGGGAGATAGAATTGGATTGTTAATATAGACATTTCAAAATGACGTTACTATCCCTCGCTTTGACCTACCAACTGGGCCCAAATTAAAACTGACCAGCTTGTTTCTTTGTCTTGGGCTTAAATTTAGATGGGCACAGCACTGCATGCTTTGATTTCTTATTTTGTATTTGTTTTTTAGTATTATATTATTTGTTAATTTCACAGATAAACCCAAAAATTATTGCTGTTTTTTTAAAATCAATATATAGACTATTGATGATTTAAAACTCATATACAAAGTAGTATAAATATATTGATATGGAAAATACTTCCCTCCTTACCATGTAAGTAGAAGCTCTTATATTCCTGCTTATAGGAGTGTGACATGTGTGTATAAATTTTTCTTTTTGTGTTTTTGATGAATTATTTTTGCATATATGTCAAACTGTGATTTGTAGGAATGGAAGGAGGCAAGAATTTATGTAGGATACTGCTTGAGGAATGAATATTATGGTCCCCAATTTAACTGTATAATTTCCACAAGAGGACCAAGGCTAGATTACACGATCAAGTTGATCTATCATACGGATAGGAATTCGGCGAATCATGTCAGTTGTTTCCACATCCATAAAATAAACCACATCATCGAGTCTCCAGGTGTGGTTCCTTTATATCCATAATATCTTTAACATATACCAGAGCAAATGGAGGGATAAGAGCAGTAGTGTTGATACACCTAATGTAGCGATGGGGCAACCAAGCATCCTCCCATATCTTCATAGATTCACCATTCAGGATATGAATTTGCATTTTCTCCTTTACAGCGTCTCGCTCCTCAAGCAAGCTGGCCCAAACCCAAGAAGCCCGATGCCTGCATGAAATCGCATTCAAGAAAATATATGTCCTTCAAAATATGAAACCATAAGACATCATGATTACAAATGGCTCTCCAACATTGTTTGCCTAACAACACAAGATTAAAGTTCTCCAAGTCTCTAAAACCTAATCCACCATCCTTTTTTGCCATACTGAGAGATTGCCAAGATCTCCAGTGTATCTTAGAATCACCATCCTTGCCTCCCTACCAGAATTTAGCCATGTCCCCATTAATTTCCTTACATAACGTAATCGGAAATTTAAAACATGTCATTGGGTAAGCAGAGACAGTGGTAGCCAGAATATCCCCAATCTTTAGTTTAGTATGGTCATCAGTGTTTTGACTGAAAACAATACTAGACTTATCCAAGTTAATAAGTTGACTAGAAGCCTAACAGTACAAATCCAGCAACCTCCTAAGTTTAACACAATTTTCCTCCTCTGCCTGAATAAAGAAGAGTGAATTATCGACGAAAAAAATATGAGATATGGTTGGGCCACGTTGAGATAATTTTATGCCTTTTAAGATCCCACCTTCAATAAGCATCGACAGATTGGTGGATAACGCCTCACAAACAAGGAGGAATAAATAAGGTGAGAGAGGATCTCCCTACCTAATCCAAACATTGTGAGTTCCTTGGGCTTTGTATTATCCATCCCTTTTATTTCTCACTCGCATAACCCCTGTGCCTATAAATAGAGAGTCTTCAAGGATTCATATTGATTCATATTCCATCACAAAGGAGGGAGAGTTGAGAGTCACAAAGGGAAAGAAAAGAAAAGGCAGTAGCTGGGAGGTGTAAATGCTCATGTTACTCTTGAACTTTAGAATTTGGTCAACCCCAAGGAATATACTGGTAATGACAATGTTGGAGGTGTAGGTAATGATTCCGGACTATCCATTTCTCATTTTGGATCAAGCACTATTAATTCTTGTTCCTTTCACCTAAATGATGTCTTACATTGTCCCTTTGCCTCTACCAATTTAATTTCTGTTCATCGTTTCACTTCCGACAACAATTGCTACATCCTAATTTTTCTTGATTTCTTTTTTGTTAAGGACCTCAAGACACATAAGACACTTTTCCAAGGGAGATGTGAGAATGGATTGTATCCAATTCATTTTGGCGGTGGATTTTCCAATCAACATTTTCAAGCTTTTGTAGGAACTCGTGTTATCTTTTGCTACTCTTGAAGCTTTCTTCACATGGGTTTTCAAAGGTGTTCAATTGTGGCTGCCTTTTGCTGTCAACCCATGTGGTTTTTCTTTTGGTTGCTGGAAAAACAAGATTCTTCTGAACCAGGCTTGGTGTAGGAAGGCCTGAGGTTTCAATATGTATCCAATGAGGCTCAAATTTGGATATGTTATAATAGACACCCATTGGAACAACTTTTATGAAGAATGTATTCCCATATGAGCAGTACAAGTGTACGTTTTGGGCCTTGCAAGTTGACTGCCGAAAATATACTGGAATTGACTTCATTGCAGTCAGCTTGTGGGCTTGATCTTCCCTCCTACAAAATCTGGAAAAATCTGTATCTTGAAGCTCTTTGAATTATATTTCCAAGCATATGCAGCCCAGCTCAAGGCAAAATCGGAAAGCCCTTCAAATGTGATATTTGGCCCAGTAACGAAGATGCTGCCGAATTTGACCTTAAATTGCCAAAACTTGTATAACTTTCTCTAGAAGACTCGGAATCATGAACCGTAAAATTCTCCAGAAACTAGACTTCTGCATTTTTCCAATGATATAAGGCTCACCATCTGGTTCATCTTGAGCAATTACAGTCCAATTCGTGAAGTTGACTGATCTGCAGACACCGTTTTGAGCTAACTTGTCTCCAAAATGCATTTAATGAGTCTCAAGCTTATTACACTGAAACAAACACAAAATTTATTAAAAGCACAAGTTTAACTCAAAAACATAATCAAATCATAAGTTAGAAGGGTACAAAATGATATATAAATATGCACCGATCATGTTACAATTCAAAAATGGCATTCTCGTCTTGGCCATCCAACTAGACCAATAATGAATAATCTGGTTTCTAATAAAAATGTGCCGATTACTGACTCTTCTGACGTAGGATTTTGTTCTTCCTGTCCTTTAGGTAAAAGCACAAAATTACCTTTTTCAAAATCAGATTCGGTTTCTTCTTCTCCATTGGAGCTTGTACACTCCGATGTTTGGAGTTCACCTAGTGTTTCAGCTCTTTGTTGATGATTTTTCCCGCTACACGTGGATATTCCCTATGAAACACAAATTCGAAATTTTTGATTTGTTTGTTAAATTTAAGACACAAGTTGAGGATATGTTAAATGCTTCGATAAAAAAAATTAAATGTGATGAAAGAGGTGAATATACCAAACCTGAGTTTCAAAAAATTTTGGCAAATCAAGGTATCCATCAACGGTTTTCATGCCCTAAACATCCTGAACAAAATGGATTAGCCGAACGAAAACATCACCATCTTGTTGAAACTGCCATTGTCATGCTTTCTCATGCTCATATCCCTTCCTCTTATTGGTTTGAAGCATGTCAAACAGCTACCTATCCAATCAACAGGTTACCTACAAAAGTACTTCACAATCTATCACCATTCGAAAAATTGTTTCACAAACCTCCTCCAAATCATGTGCCTATATTGTCCTTGCCTTCAACATAACAAGAATCAGTGCAACACATTGATCATGCACCGGCTGAACCTGATGTATCCTTCATTGAAGTTTCAAGGCTGTCCAATGTTCCCACGCATCCTATTGTGACTAGGTCACGGTTGGGAGTTCAAAAACCAAATCCTAAATATGCATTGAATTTTATTGTTGATACTAAATTACTGGAACCCACTTGTTTTAGCCAGGCTGTGAAGCAAGAGGAATGGAGACAAGTAATGGCACATGAATTCAATGCCTTACAGCGCAATGGCACATGGCAACTAGTTCCTTTTCGGTACAATATGAACCTGCTGCCAAATAAATGGGTTTTTAAAATTAAGAGGAGAGTAGATGGATCCATAGAACGCTATAAAGCAAGACTTGTCGCCAATGGTTTTCATCAGAAGTAAGGTGTCGACTATAGTGGGACATTTAGTCCTGTGGTCAAGCATAGCACTATCCGCTTGGTTCTCAGTCTTACAGTCACTAATAAATGGCCAGTCAGACAACTTGATGTGCACAATGCATTTTTGCATGGTTATTTAAGTGAGGAGATTTACATGAAACAACTAGCTGGGTTTGTTGATCCACAATTTCCTAATCATGTATGTCGATTGCAAAGAAATCTATATTGTTTGAAGCAAGCACCACGGGCTTGGTTTGATACGTTCTCTGATTATCTCTTACAACTTGGCTTTCAAGTGTCTAAGTGTGATTACAACCAGCAAGGTGTCCATTTAATTTTACTTATTTATGTTGATGATATTTTGCTCACCGGCAATGATCGAGTCCAAGTTTCTCATCTCATTCGTCGTTTGAGTACTCTTTTCTCTATGAAAGATTTGGGCAAACTTCACTATTTTTTGGGAATTGAAGTTACCTAAGCTGGTTACTCTATGCATCTAAGCTCTTGATCTTCTTCAACGTACTAAATTTATGGATGCAAAGCCAATTTCTACACCAGTTTCCAGTGGGCAAAAATTGAGTGCTTATGTTGGTGAACCGCATACTGATCTTGAGACCTACAGAAGCATTGTGGGCGCCTTGCAGTATCTAACAATCACTTGCCTAGATTTATCTTATGTTGTAAACCAAGTTTGCCAATTTATGCATTCTCCGAAGTCTCCTCATTGGCTAGCAGTCAAGCGCATCCTGCGTTATCTTAAATCCTCTTATGATTATGGTATTGTTCACAAGCCCGGCAGTTTGCAAGTTAATGCTTTCTCGGATGCAGACTATGCCGGTGATCCGGATTCTCGACACTCAACCAGTGGATATTGAGTATATGTTGGTGCCAATTTGGTGTCATGAAGCTCTAAAAAGCAGAGAACAGTATCCCGATCAAGCACAGAGGCTGAGTACTGTCAACTGGCGTATACT